TTATTGATAACTTATCGATTGTTTTATCGATTAATGTTCTCTAAATTTTTTAATATAAAAGTATCCATATTTATCGAAAAAATATAGATCTTAATCTTTTGAAATATTGTGTATTCATTGAATCGAATCAACTTTCAAATGTAATTGAATTCTTAACGATCAAGTTTTGGCTATTTATCGATATATTTTGAAATTTTTAACTTATCGATTGTGTTTAAAATATTATTGTTTCTACTTTGTTGTACAGTTGCTTAAATTTGATCGATTTTGTATCGATAAGTTATCTAATTTTGGTTTTTAAAGGTTATCGATTGCTTTATTACGCTGTATCCTTTAGTTATTAATTAGTTATCGAGTATTTGAGAAACATTCTACTTATTATCAAATGATTGACCTCAACTTATTGTATTGTTTGTGCGTTGAGTGGTTTTAGCTGCACTGATTTGCAGCTGCATCGATTAGTTATCGAATAATTATCTATTTTGTGCTGCGCACTTGTACGTCTGCCCTATTAGATCATCCAATTGGATGTGTGGCAACCCTAAAAGTGAGCAGTTCGCACAGCTTGTGCCCCATCAGTCAACTGCCCATTGAGGCATACACATGACCACACCTAGACCCAGTTGCCAGCTGTCAGTTACCAGTTACGGTTACCAGTTACGGCTAACAGTTACAGTTATGCTTAAGGGGACTTTAAAGAAGACAAAAACCACCCCCGAATCAGTGTCTAGGGCGGCGGGGAGGGAGTTAGGGGCGTAAGCTGGATAAACTATGCATAAAGTGAATCACACGAAAAACTAAAAGCCCTTTTACTTGAAGCGGAATGCGAACCAAAAGTTGCCAAAGGAAACGCTAAACAAAGAGCCAGAAAATGTGCTAGAAAAGGTAACAACAACAACAACAACAACAACAACTCGAAGAAGAAGAAGAAATGTAATAAAAACAAAGAGCTGTACATAAGGCATTGCGAATGAGGCGAACAGACGCCCAAGAGTCGAGCAAGTTGTCCCCCCCTTTGCCCTGCCTTTCCACCCCCCCTCTTTTGACTGTTTGCCGAGCAAAACATAAATTATCAGCACAATGGGCAACAGTCAAGGCAAGGGCAGAGACACTGGCAGAGGCAACAGCGCAAAGGAATGCCAAATGACAATAACAAAAAGGGGCGTAGCAAGGAGGAGGGAGGGTACTTGGGTGTAAGCCACGTGAAGAGCGGGCAGTAGCAAGGGGGCGGGGCAGTAGCATGCCCGGACCAAAGTCTATTTTAATTTTGACGTAGTTAGTGACACAGAACGTAGGCCAAAACAAATGCGATAAATGGCAACAACGGCAGCAACATTTTGCACGACCCGAAGATACCCTGTAAGCAGTTGCTAGCTATAACAAAAATGCAAGGTAGAATAAATTTTGTATTAACCGCGCGATAAGCATTTAATTGATGGTACCTAAGCAGAAATCTAGGCTGACTGACCAGCAGATACCCTGTTCACAGAAGTGTCGCATAAATATTTTATTATTTAAGTAATTCATTTATGCATTATACCCCATTTTAAGCACACTTTCATTGAGTACAGGGCATAAAAAGCAAAGATTATAACAGAAACAGAATAAGCATAGCCACAGGCAGAGAGACAGAGGCACAGGCAGCTTAAGTGTCCACGTTCGCTTTGAACATGTTGCGCCTGCTGCTGCCGCTGCGTATCTAACAGATACAAGATACAAAAACACAGAGCTAGACGGAGCTGTGGCTGTGCTCAGACCCAATGACTCAGACTCAGATTCAAATACAGATTTCAGACTCTGGCAACAGTTGTGGCAAGAGTGGCGCGTGGGCATCGAGGAATAAGAATGCTGCCGCCGCCTCATGCCACAAGCGGCAGCCACAGCCCGACTGTGGGGGCCGCTATAAAGTATCTGAAATTGTTGCACGGCAACTTTGTTAGACTGCTTACCGGGTACATCAGCTACAGCTTGAAGCTGAATACACCTAGAATATGAAATGTAAAGTTTTATGGAATGTATCTATGTATCTTTCTTATTACATGTAGATACTTATATAGCTCAAATGTATCTGTGAATACTTTGTATGCCCGTTAATGTATCTGTAGATACTTTTTGACTCATGCATGTATTATGTACTTTAAAAGTATCTGTAGATACTTGTGAAGTCCAAGTGAATCTGCTATGAATGTATTTACAGATATCTACAGATCTATCTAAAGATACATTAATGGTCCAAATACATATATATATATGATTTTAAAAGTATCTACAGATATAACTACAGCCCAAATGTATCGCCATGTTTTATATACTCTAACTGTATCTGCAGATACTTTTAAAGCTCAAATGTATCTATATATGAGTTTTATTCCAAGTATATGTATCTGTAGATACTTTTGTAGCCCAAACGTATCTGTTGTCACTTCTAAGCTTCTTGGAAATATGATGGTAATAGGGCTTAATACACTTACAAAGTAGTGTATAGGCCATTCGGTTTGGCCCAAAATTCTAATTTCAATTCTTGTTAATAAGTTCAAACTGTGGCTAACAAGTATGAGTAACAAGTAACACGGCAACGGCCACATTCAGGCTTGAGTGTTGTCTGTCTAACAGACTGAGTTAGCCCCACACACACACACACACACACACACCACAGAGAGACACACATACACACACACACACACCGCAACAGTTTCTGTTGTTGCGCCCTCAAGTGACGCCAAAGTATCTGCGCGTTGTGGGCTGCGCGTTCGCTCAAGCGCTTGTGTTTGTATCTTTGTATCTATGCCTGTGTATGTGTGTGTTGGTGTTGGTGTTGGTGTGTGTGTGTGTGTTTGTGTGTGGGTGAGCGCCAAAAGTTCATGACGCTGTGGCAAGCTTGATTTTCAGGCCATTACATTGGGGCTCATCCTCGTGTCGAGCTGCTTTTCGTTTTAATTTTTTGTTTTGCTTTTTGTTTTTGCTTTTTGTCGTTTCTCTTTTTGAAAGCGCTTCGCAGCTGCAACACAGCGCTGACTGTGTGTGTGTGTGTGTGTGTGTGTTTGTTTGGCTTTTGTGTGCGCTTGGGGATTACGTAAGGGAATCCCCAACATTTGCAGCGCAGTCGACGCTAGCAACTAAAAAAAAAAAAGAGAAGGAAAAACAACATGATAAAACGTAGCGGAGCTGAACTGCGTCAGAGTCAGTTGCATGTTTTATGCATGAACTGTGTTTGCGCGCTCTCGCCCCACCCACCCTCAGCTGCCAGTGCCCCACCCGCCCTCGCTGCACTCTTTCTCGCCCCCCTCTAGGCCCCACTCACCTCTCTGCTTCTGCCTCTGCCTTGAAAAGCAGCGCACAGCATAGCGCAAAAAAGAAAACGCAAATAAAGTATCTTATAGATACTCGCATGGCGAGCGGGGGGCGCGGCTGGCGTTGGGGGCGTTGACTGCTGTGTAACAAGTGCGCGCTTGTTTGAGTTTCAAGTATAACCATTGCTGCAACCGCCCGCCCCGTCCCGCCCCGCAAACGCCCACTGCAAGCGACCCCCTGCAGTTTGTTACATTTTCCTTTTTCTTCTCTCTTATTTTTTTTTTAAATGTTTTTTATTTTTTTTTTGCACAGTTTGCAATCTGCAAAATATTTTACTTTGTCGTAGAACTTTTGCCTACTTCACAGGGGGGGCGGGGTAGGGTGGGTGCTGTGGGGTATTTCGTTTCGAGGGGGCGACTTGTACATATTGTTTGCGTGAGTTTAAAGCGCGGCCAAAAAGTAATCTTTTAGCTGTAATTGAAAATGACTGATTCGCATTCTCGCTCTCTCTCTCTCTCTCTCTCTCTCTCTCTCTCTCTCTCTCTCTCACCCTTATTCATCTATTTATCTAGCTATATCATTCTTTCCTTTACGCCTACAATGATGGCCTGTTGTCTGCTTTTCTTGTTGCGTTTGTCCTTGCGCTACCCTGTAAGAGCAGCCAGACACAGAGAGTTGTTTGCGACTCGAAAGGCAATAAGATCAGTGTTAACAGTGTTACCCGGCTTTACATGGACAGCGCACAATGGTTTATATCTCTCTCATTATCATAAAAATGTGTGTGCAAGTGAATTAAAGGTCAATTGACTTAAGAAACAATTTTCCAGGACAGTGTTTCAACAATTTACCAACTGTACGACAGAAATCGTTAACTAGTTTTCATTTTTATGCCCAAAAATTTAACAGACTAGATATTTAATAAGAGTGAGAAGTGCTGCGCACTTAAGAGGCAAATTGCTCGTTCGAACTGTTGTTCAGCAAACAGTGAATCAGTCAGTCAGTCAGTCGGTCAATCAATTTTAAGTATTATCCTAGAGCAAGAAGTACAGGGTATTTAATAATGGACTACTATAGCCCATCAATCAGCCGAGATATTGGTAATTCATTCAGTCAAGATATTTAGATCGAATGCTTATAAAGTGCGTAGTATCTTATGGTATACCCTCTCTCTCTCTCTCTCTCTCTCTCTGTGAAGTCATATGGTTTGTTCGAACTATTGATCATCAATCAGTCAGTCAATCAGTCAGTCGATTTACTTAGATATTTTGCAAAGTACGTGGTATTTCCTCAGTCAATCACTTAGTATCTTTTGGTTTAATCTTGATCTCATTTTAGGGCTTGTTAGTGGGAATTACAGGGTATTTAATAGACAACTTTTTTCCTCAACTACCCATTTACACAGCCAAGTACAAGCACACACACACACATACACTCACACACATGCACAGCTACAGCGTACAAAAGTGGCCTTGAGCCCAAGTATCAAGTTATGAAGTAAACGCCTGTCAACAGGCATATCTGAAAAAAAAAAGGATATTGTGTGGGAATGTGCGTGTGTGTGTGCACGTATCTTGTATTTTCAATTGTTGCAATATGCATATACTTATTGCGAAGACTGTATGTTTGTCGAGTTCAATTGAAATCAGGCTTTTGTGCATAATTCCTGGCCTGAACGGGAGCAATTGGGTTAACTGTAATTTTGTACTTACTGCCACGTCCGCTGCCCTTGCGTCGCGCCATCTTGTACGTGTGTGTCCTGGTTGAGTGTATCCTTTCGATGCTTTACTGCTGCCTCACTGTGGCTCTATGGCCAGCTACATGGGGGCCCAGTTGCTGCTCGGACTTGGGACTTGATTGATGGGCTATCGGGCTCTCGACGCGCCTGCCACGCCCACCGTTGGCTTGGGCTTGTTGTGCCAGTGTGTGTAAGGCAATGTAAATGTCCTTGCCACCGCGCCCTCAGTGTCCTTGTGCCCCAAATGGCCACGTCGCGCACTGTGCAACGTCTCAGGCGGGGCGACGCAACGGGAGTCGATACGACTTGCGACTCGTTTTGTGGCCTGGTTCCGTTCTCCTTCGTCTCGTATGGAGTGTGACTGTGTATATATATGTTTTTCCTATATTCATATATATATATATATATATAAGCAGCTATAGCCTAGACAAATAGACGGGCCATGTGTGTTTGTGTGTGTGTTGGGCTATGATGACGTGTCTGTTGCTTGCTTGGCTTTTGGCTGCCCGCAATTTGCATAAAATGGCAACATTTTCAACATTTATTTATTTGATTTCGATTTCATTTCTAGTGTATATATATATGCACATCTATATATATATATTTTTTTCCTATATATATGCGTGTAAAATACTCCAAAATTTCCCAAAAGTTTGTTTTACTTTTCTGGTTTTGTTGTTTTGTTTTGTTTTCTTTGTTTCTGTGGTCGTTTCTTTTGATATGATTTTTGCGCTTTTGTTGATTAAATTGTGGCCAAAATTAACCACAAGCCACGTGGGCTTTTTTTCTGCTTCTTCTTCAATAGCTGCTTCACCTTCTTCCTCTGCTTGTTTTTTTGTGTTTTTGTTTTTGTTTGTTTGTTTGTTGTCGTAGGCCGCGTTTTACCGTTAAGCCGCGCGCGTGCGACAGAGACAGAAGGCGTGCAGCATGACGAATTATCAAGCAGCAAATAGTTGTGTTTTGTTTTTGTCTACTATTTATTTATTTTTTTTCTTGGATTTGCTTCTGTTTTGAGTTTTCGTCGGCAACACGTTGCGTATACGCAACCACACGCACAATGTTTAATATTTTGTTTAACAATTGAACTTAATTCACAGATTTTACATGCAATTCAACTACTTTAATATATATGTATATATTTAATATATATATATATATGTATTTGTTATCAACTTTCATGTACGTGTGTGTGACACTTTCAATATGGCTTGCGTGTGTGTGTGTGTGTGTGTGTGTGTGTGTGTTTGATTTCTATTAATATAACTGAAATATATTCGCTGCTGCTCTACGAAATGTGTGCGAAGCGCGCGAAAACGAGAGGCGTGCGTCGACTTCGGCGTTCACGAACAAACAAGAGGCGATGTTAACACAAAATGAGCGCTGTTAACAGTTAAATGCTTCGTCTGCGGCACGAGCCGAACGAACGCGCACGCACGCACACACACACACATCCAAGCGCACGCGAGAGAGATAGAGAGGGAGCGCGCTCAGCAAATAACCTGCTTTGCGCTCTCTTACGCTCTCTTCGTTTGCTGCTTTCAATTGATTTTGCTTTCAATTTGAATGCGCTTGTTTTCAATCGTTTTGACTTTTTGTTTACCTTTTTTTTCGTTGCCATGTTTTTTGTTGTGCGCATGTTTTTTTTCTCTTTGAGTGTCTTTTGGTAAGAGCAAATTTAAGAGCACGCAATTCGCTGTGCACTCTTTGCTTTAGCCAGCGGCTTTAGTTTAGTGAGTTAATCTTAATTGTTGTTTATGTTTAAATTTGGTGCATTTAAAGCTAGTGTTTGGTTGCGTCTCTTTAGTTTTTATTTATTTCAATTGAATTAAATTCTTATATCGCTTTGCAGTTAGTTTTCAAGCAATTTTCAATTGCATACTTTTAGGCGCTACCAAATTTCAATCTTCAGATAATGCTAATTTGAGGGTCTGAAGCGTAAACAGCTCATGTTTAAACTTAATAAAAATATATGGAGGTATGTAAAATCTCGAAAACACCAAGTTTGGATAGTAGGATATCTTGGGGTATATATACATTGCGAATATTTCAAATATCGGATATCTGCTCTTCTCAAATTGTAAAGAAAATAGAGTTTTTAGAAGTACTGTCTAGAGGGTATCTGCTAGTCGGGCACTCCCAACTTAAGCAAGACAAATAATGTATATAATGAAATGGATTTATGAGTCGAGGACACTTTTGCGCCGTACACTGACTTTTGGGCATTCAATTTCCTTAAGCTACACCTAAGAAAATATTTATCATCAAGATAAAGCTCATGTTAGCGCAATGTCAAACGTGTGCGTGTTAAGCACGCCCCTGTCAGGCTCTAATGCGCACAATTGGAGCACTATTTTTTTTTTGCTCCGGCTAATCAAGTGTGGGCTATTCATAAGTATTTGCGTTGTGGGAGTACGCGAGTGTTGGCGGGACACACAAAAGGCGTGGCAAGCCCATTTTGGCATTTCATGTGTGGCAAAGATAGTAGCCACCCACACCCACTCTATCTGATCGATTGCAAATGGAGCTGATGGGTTTTTGAGCACTGGGGCTTTACGCACACAGTCCAATCCGAAAAGCCATCAATGAATGTGGCAGCAGCTGTTTTTTGTTTACGTGTGTGTGCGACAGACGCAGGCGCCATTTTGCCGGCTATTGGCGCGCTTCCAGTTTTCCAGTTTCGCAACTGGAAGTCCGAAGGGGAAAATTCGAACTGTGAAATTGGCGCCAAATGTTTCGCCAGCTTCGCAGTCGGCCAATAACAGCGCGCGCGAAAGGTGCGGCAAATTAAACGCGGATAGATTTTGAAATAATTTCCATTCAATTCAATAGAAAAAAAAAAAAACAGAGTGTCAAAGTGATAACACATAAAATTAGCTTGTCTTTTAATTTATGAATAAATATAAAAATATATAAACTTAATTTAAAGATTCTTAAAATTTTGCTATTTCTTAAAATTATAAAAAAATTTTAATTTATGCAAATATTTATGGATTCTATGCGCATAAAAATAAATTGCCATTTAGAAATGTAATTCTCTTTAATTTTTAAGTGCGTGGCTTCTTTTCAATTGTCATGTGTGTTAGTTAAATTTTAAATAATTGTTTGTCAAGTCATAAAACATTTTGCTTAAATGTAGAGCTTAGTTAAATTTATAAATTGATGCGCTGGCATTGTCTTATAATCCAGAAAAGGTTCGTTTTAGTTACATTTTCGGTTGGTGATTTGTGTTTTTCCGCATGTGTTAAATCGAGCCTAGACATATTTTGCAATTTTCTTTTGACATATTTCAGTTTGTTTTGTGTACAACAAAGATTGGTTTAAATTGAGAGAAGGCAGAACTGCAAATCCGCCCAAAAATATAGTTCACTGTTCAATTGTAAAGTTTGTACCGAGTTTTTGCCTTTGGTTTGTCATATTTTTGTAAATTCTTAACAAAACAATTTCACTTCCAATTGGAATTTGCCCGTTCATAAGGCAGGCCATAGTTGAGCTCTAGCCAAAATTGACAGCTGCAAAATAGGTTTAGATAAATCCAAATAGCTATGTCTCGAGGCTGAGTTCTTATCAAAATTTGTTCCGAATCAAAACCAATATTTTTCCGTTCGGGCAACTTATTTGCCTAAAGTTTCGATTCATATTAATAAAATTGGCCTAAAATTAGCATCTGCAAAATATGTTTAATTAAATTCAATTTGTGTTTGTTTATCTTCAAAAGTTAATTAATTTTATACAAAACATTTATGAACTAATGAAGTATTTTTGGGCAACCTATTTGTTTAGGGCTCGTTTCGTGTTAAAACGGGAAAGTGAGAATAATTGTTTGCAAGCCGAAGTTTTAATACCCTTGCACCCATTTACCCTATGCAGGTATGTGAGTATAGTGAAGCTCGAAAATGTTGAACAGAAAAAAAAATTTCGACCGATCGTTCCTATGGCAGTTGTATGATATAGGGTTTGATGGGAGAGTACGAGAAACTATTAGATGCCGAGTTTGAATAAGTTAGCTGGGATTTGGAATATATGTAAGGTGAATAGTGACTGTTATAAACTCAGATTTTGATCAAGATATCTTGATAAACCAAATAGTTTTTTATTCAAGAACCAGCAATCGTTCCTATGGCATTCCATTCCGATCTATGTACTGCCTACAATAGTCGGATATATCCAAAGTTTTTGATGCTAATCTAGAATATATATACTTTATGAGTTTAGGAGCTGTCTTCTGCTATGCGTTGCACATTTCATGACAAACTTTTAATATCCTCTGTAAGGGTATAAACAAGTAAATAAAAAGTACTTTCCAGCCTGGTTTTAAAAGCAACTAAATCGATTCGTCGTTGAAAAAAAGGGCTCGCACTTTATCTAATTGTTTCGTTGCCTATCAGAGAATAAATTAATATTATTTATTTAAATAATTGAATTATGTATTCTGTTTGAAGCTCGACTAATTGCATTTAATCCACCTTTGCTAACGCTCTTAATTGTTGTTGTACAATTTTGTAATTAGCATGATATTCTTTATGTTTAATGCATTCAATTTATGTCAATTGTGTATTTGTTTGAAATATATTTCTTTTTATTAATTAAAAATAGACAATTGAATGCTTTAATTGCTGTGTTGTAAATAAAGCATAATATAGCAGACAGAATGTAATTCGTTGGCCTCTTTTATATTGCAGCACTTAATGTTGTGCCTGATAAATGGAACTACAAAACCAGGCAACGGACAGACAACCCAATCCCTCGATTCTCAACTCTCTGCGCCAGGTGGGGCGAGGCGGGGGCCGCTCTTCGGGCTGTAAATTAAACGCCAAAGTCAATACTTAATTGCTCTGCTGGCCGTAAACATTATTGTTTATGTACGTGCGAGTGTGAGTGTAAACAAATATTGCGCAAAAATACTCGCAACAGAGCGAAGAAGAAGCAGCAACAATTTCGACTCTTTCAACGAATTCCAAACGCTGGCTAGAATAATATATCTATAAAAATACATATAAAAGTATCTAACCATAGGTGAGTACCATTTTAGCTAGGTTTATTAAGCAATACACACACACACACACACACGCGCACACTCTCGCACACACACACACACACACGTATTTATAGAGAACGGAAACAATAATATTGCGCATACGCAACATTGTACCCCGTCGGCGCACAGAAGTTAAGCCTCCCCATCGGCCATCTACTCTTGCTTCTTTTGTTTATGATATATTTATATTTTATTTCTCACTGCTTAATACCTGATTTGCTGGCCCAAATCGCAGCATAATATACTCGTCCCGGTCGTTGTCCGGCAGCAGTCACTGATTTATGAAAAGTGCTCGGATGAATTATGGGCTCTTTGCTGTGCAGGCAGGTGTACATAATGCGGGCGGCAGCGCCCGTAAAGGTCACCTGAGAGTTGGCATTAAGTACACATAAAACTCGTATGGAATGCAGGCATAACCCAAAAAGCAATTCAAGAGGTGTCCAGCAACCCAAACTTAAGACTTTAAGCTATCGATTTGGCTATTTGTTTAGCTGTGAAGAAAGTTTAACAAGACAAAAGAGG